AAATTTATACCAGCTCTGGATTAAAGAACCCGGTAGACTTTAAGCTTTGTTAGTAGCCAAGTTGAAAAATAAAGAATGGCAAACATGATTTGTTCTTAGAGATAAAGAGCTTTATGCCGTTGAGTCATACACAAAATTATATACACTTACTCAAATTTACCCCACACGGGGAAACTACAACACACACACAAGCAATGTGAAAAGAGAATGAAAAGATAGGTTCTTACTTGTACTAATTTCCAACTGGAATCGGAGCTGCCAGAGATTCTTTATTATTAAGAATGGACATTATGGAGTATTGCTGCCATATATGGTCTGGAGCCCCTACTGTTTGCCTCGAGGTTCTTGATAAGATACAGAGACGGATATGTAATATAATTGGCCCCGATCTGGCATCTCGTCTACAGTTGCTCTCTCACAGATGCACCGTCGCCTATCTCTGTTTTTTTTTACAAATACTCTCATGTTAATTGCTCCGATGAGCTGCTTTCGCTGGTTCCCAGACTTCGCGAATTCAAGCGTCCTACGAAGCTGGCATCCCGCTCTCACCCTTTCACTGTTGAAACAGTTAAATGTAGCCGTCTCTTCTACTCCAATAGCTTCATATCTCGCCCCTATCGCCTGTGGAACTCCCTCCCCTTTTCCTGTTTCCCTGAGAGCTATAATCTCCAACTATTCAAATGTAATGTCAATCGACATCTCCAGTTACCTTGATATATCCACTATCCTTCTCCCTGTCCTTTCCTCTATCATTTTTACCTGCTCTCGCTCCAAATCCTCTATAACCCCTTGCGTACTAGTGGCTTCACGCCTTGTTAGGGGCGAAAAAAATATCTTGAAATCAGCATTATATAATAAATTTTAATTACTTACTTCTTTTTCTTTTAAAACGCGGCATCTGACTTGGTGTACGTGAGTTGGCTGAAATTCTGCCATATTTATGATTTGAGATTCAAGCGGGCCGAATTTATCTGCTATGTCACTAGCGGGGACATATTCCGCAAACAGGAAAACGGCAAGCTATGTTTATTTTCTTCCAAATTGAGCACGCCGAGCCGGAGATACTTTACATATCTGGCGAAGATATATGTCCATAGCTAAACGGCGCCATAAAATCTATTTAGTGTTATCACCACACCTACGTCCTGAAGAAAGGGGTTTTTGTTTTTTTCAAAATTAAATTTAACATTTAAAGTTTGATTTATTTCTATTCATCGGACAGGGTGCTGAAAATTTCTCAGTTCCCCCAAGAAAGGCTCTCCCCCAAAACAATGTATAGTTATTTGGTTAGATTTGAATATTTGGTTTAGGTCAGGAATTTTTCAATATCACTCGTATAAATTCCTAAACAACAGGTATCTAGAGTTAAATATTTTTTCAATAAATATCTTTTCGACTTTTTTTGTGTAATAAAATATGAAAACTATTTTTACTTGAGGAAATAAAGAGAAAGGAGAAAAATATTTGCATAAAAATATACTTGTAAAATAGTCCCCTGCCAGTCATCTCACATCTCCTTGAACTCATTAGGGTTGTAATTCACTTCAAGATGGTTTTGAAATCAAAGTTTTCTTTCTACATTGCTTACCAGTTCGAAGGAAAAAGAGTTCACCCAGCTGTACAATTTAACACATTGCTGCTGGATGAAGTGATGAACTAATACCTTTCCCGAGAGCATTAGTGTGAAAGAGAACAGTACAAATTTAGAACTCGGCTATGAATTCAGGGCTTTTCCTTCTGAAATCCCAACGTAAGAAAACCCGGTCGATCTTGTTATTTAACCCATATATATGGATATAATACTTCTTTAAAGATATTTCTTCGAAAATGAACGTAAAGAATTCGATCATATGATTTAATTTTTATATTATCCGCACATCCCCGTGAATCAGAGATAAGTTTATTAAAAAGAATGTAAGAAACTCTACACGTCTTACCTCTAGGGTAGGTGTTTATACATCTACATATCATCCAGTGTGTCCCAAGTTTTCGTTCCCATTGAGTCTGTCTAAACTGTCTGGCCAGAAATTGAACTCACAATTTTTCCCATACTGGCTAACCAACAATTTAATGTCGTAGGCAATTTTCCTTAGACATGGACAGTAGAATGAGAATAAGCTATACTCTTTGTTTAAATAATACGAATAATGCAAATAATAATTAATAGTTCCCACTTGCGTCTTGTAGGCTTTATTGTCCTGCTTTGGATGGAATAATAATAATAATAATAATAATAATAATAATAATATGGATGATCTACCTACTCTACATGGATGATCTCAAACTCTTTGCCAAAGACGACAATGAGTTGAAAGGCCTCCTCAATATTGTAAAATACTTCAGTGACGACATAGGTATGAACTTCGGATTAGATAAATGTGCAAAAGTTACATTCAAGAAAGATAGAATTACAGAAACACCCTTAATAGATTTAAATTTTGTCACAAAGATTAGGGAACTGGAGCATGATGAAGCTTATAAGTACCTAGGAATTAGCGAAGGAGATGGCATACAACACCCCCAAATGAAGGAAAAAATAAGAAAAGAGTACTACAGTGAGCTAAACGCAAAAAACAGAATATCAGCCATAAACACATTGGCTGTCCCTGTGGTGCAATACAGATTTAATGTCCTTAACTGGACCATAGCTGAAATTAAGCGAATGGACGCCAAAACGAGAAAGCTTCTCATTTGCTATCGCATGCATCATCCCAAAGCTGATGTTGATCGTCTGTATGTGCCCAGATCCGAAGGAGGCAGAGGATTAGTTCAACTAGAACTGTCCTACAAAACTACAACAATTGGCCTCCAAAGATATTTGGAAACTACAGAAGACTGGATGATGGTATGCGTCAACGAACATGAAAGTAGTAAGCGTCTTTACTCCGTAATGAAAGAAGCCAACAAATTCAAATCAGAGTTTCAAATTGGCGTAGAGATGCAACTACAGCACAATACACCGGCTGAAACTGCAAAATACCGAAAAAAGACAGCAAAGACGAATGCAACCGACCAGTTACAGAAGCGATGGCAAGATAAACCGCTTCATGGCCAATACTCTGCCCGTACCAAACAAGCTGACGTAGACAAAACCCGTACCCATCAGTGACTACGTAGTGCAGGGTTGAAAGCAGAAACTGAAGGTTTTATCCTTGCTGCGCAGGACCAATGCTTGCTAACTAGGAATTATCAAGCACATATACTAAAATATTGTGTCAGCCCAAAATGCAGATTCTGTGATAAATATCCAGAAACGATTGATCATCTTGTATCAGGTTGTACGGTGTTGGCACCCACTGAATATAAACATGAGAGAGTGGGCCAATATCTGCACTGGAAAATCTGCAACTTCCACGGGAAGGAAACTGAAAGAAACTGGTATGAACACCACCCAGACCCAGTTACGGAGATAGGAACTGTTACAATTCTATGGGACTACACAATACACACTGACAGAACAATCAAGGCTAACCGCCCAGATATTGTTATTAAAGACCACAAACAAAAACGGTGCCTCCTTGTTGATATGTCAGCCCCTGCTGACTGCAATGTATCTTTGAAGATATTCAAAAAGCTGTCAAAATTCAAGGACCTTGAAATAGAAATCTCGAAAATGTGGCATATGGGAACATCAACAATCCCTGTTGTAGTTGGAGCCCTAGGAGTGGTTGGAAAAGATTGCAGTAGACTAATTGAAGGGATTCTTGGAAGCCCATGCCTCAAGGAGATACAAAAAATTGTTCTGACAAGTACAGCCCACACTTTACAAAGGGCTTTATCTATGTAAATTTTTTTTTTTTTTTTTTTTTTTTGTCGGTGGAAAGTGTCATGACGCCATTTCTAACTTTAGATCCTTGGGCAGGACCCGGAAAGAAATGTGTAAATTTCAAATCAAAGAAAATAATAATAATAATCAAAGAAAATAATCAAAGAATTATATTAATAATAATAATAATAAATAGTAATAATAATAATAAAATATTAATAAAATAATAAAAATAATAATACTAATAAAATAACAATAAGAATAAGAAGAATAATAAAAATAATAATAATAATAATAATAATAATAATAATAATAAAATAGTAATAATAATAATAAAATACTACTACTACTACTACTACTACTAATAATAATAATAATAATAATAATAATGGGAACATCAACAATCCCTGCTTTCGGATTGGTTGGAAAAGATTCTAGTAGACTAATTGAAGGGATTCCTGGAAGCCCATGCCCTAAAGAAATAAAAAAAAAATGTTCTTATGAGTACAACCCACACTTTCCGAAGGGCTTTATCTATGTAATATATATATATATATATATATATATATATATATATATATATATATATATATATATATTTGTCAGTGGAAAGGGTCATGATGCCATTTCTAACCTTAGGTCTCCAAGGGACCCGGAAAGAAATGTGCACGCAGAAATCAAAGGAAATAATAAAATAATAATAATAATAATAATAATAATAATAATAATAATAATAATAAAACATGTGCTCAAAAGAACAAAGATATTTACACATATTTATCAAGGAACACGTGAGGCGAGATTTGTCGAGCGGCTGGATAAGCCAAGAGTAAATGACTAATATACTGACAGGAGTTTTATTAAGTAAATATATATCTATACATACTATGCGATAAAATTTATTTCGATGGCATGAATAATTTTGAGTTCAATCTTTGGTCAAGGCAGAGGGTATTGCATTTAAGACGCAGAAATAAATTTGTTGTCTTTGCTGTTTTGTATCCATGTTGATGGATCTTTAGGCATATTTTATTTACTTAGTGATACAAGGACAAAAAAAGATCTGTTTACTTGAACCGTAACTCCAGTTCCTTATGTGCATCTCACAAACGATTTATGTCTCCTCTCATAATTTCTCCGGTTCGAAGTTAACTTTCACAAAAAGTGATTTGACAAAAAAGCGAAACTAAAGTTCATGTCTTGTCTACATGATTGTAATCTTTCATTTAATGGCTTAGCACTCAAAGACTGGGACAAAAAAAGAGTAGGTAAGAATGAGTAGAAGAAAGAAAGAAAGAAAGAAAGAAAGAAAGAAAGAAAGAAATGAAGGAAGAAAGGAAGGAAGGAAGAGAAAGAGGAAGGAAGGATGGACGGAAGAAAGAAAAAAAGAAAGGAAGGAAGGAAGGCAGGAAGAGAAAGAGAAAGGAAGGATGGACTGAAGAACGAAAAAAAGGAAGGAAGGAAGGAAGGAAGGAAGAGAAAGAGGAAGGAAGGATGGACGGAAGAACGAAAAAAAAAGGAAGGAAGGAAGGAAGGAAGGAAGGAAAAAGGAAGGAGGACGGAAGAAAAAAAAAGAAAAGGAAGGAAGGATGGAAGGAAGAAAGAAAACTGGAAGGAAGGAAGGAAGGAAGGAAGGAAGAGAGAGAGGAGAAATGGACGGAAGAAGGAAAAGAGAAGAGGAAGGGGAAGGAAGGAAGGAAAGGAAGGAGGAAGGAAGGATGGAGAAAAAAGGAAGGAAGGAAGAAAGGAAGGAAAAGAGAGAGGAAAAGGAAGGAAGGAAGGAAGGAAGGAAGGAAGGAAGGAAGAGAAAGAGAAAGGAAGGGAAGGAAGGAAGGAGGGAAGAAGGAAGGAAGGAAGGAAGGAAGAAAGAGAAAAGGAAGGAGAGAAAAGAGAAAGGAAGGAAGGGAAAGGAAGGAAAAGAGAGAGAGGAAGTAAGGAAGGAAGGAAGGAAGGAAGGAAGGAAGGAAGGAAGGAAGGAAGGAAGGAAGGAAGGAATTGAGTTGTATGAGAAAGAAAGCGATTTAGCTGAATAAAGATAAAAGAGTGAAAAATAAACATTAGGGGAAAAGTTGATGAAAGGAGAAGGGGGAGGAGGAAGCGTAAAAAACGAATAAAAAGAAGATAAAAAGAAACGAAAGAAGGGGGTGGGGGAGGAGGAGGAGGAAAAGAGCTGAACAACTAATAATTATTATTATTATCTGAAGAGAAACAAACACGTCGAAAAAGAGCGAAAAGGACGATGATTATATTATTAATATTTTTGGGGCTCAAACAAAACAAAGAGGCACAACAATAATAACAACAACAGACAAGAAGAGAAGACAAAAAAAAAAAAGAAAAAAGGAAAAGAAAATGTAACAATAACAAATATATTTTGTGTTTCTCACATTCGAACAACGGCGTTTGTCTGACGCAAACACAGACAACAGATTTGCCGTGTAATTAAAATCTTTTTTTCCCCCGTCCGCTTTCATTCATCAAAGAATCACGAGATTTGTGTGTGTGTGTGTGTGTGTGTGTGTGTGTGTGTGTGTGTGTGTGTGTCCGGATCTGTGTCTGTGTGCGCGCGCGCGCGGTATGTCGAGATTGGTGCCCGTGTGTGTATGGTTGGCTTTACATTTTTGGTGCGTTTGGACATGCTCATATTATGTCGGTTTATATCTACCATAGATAGATAGATAGATAGATAGATAGATAGATAGATAGATAGATAGGTGAAAAGAGATAGATAGATAGATAGATAGATAGATAGATAGATAGATAGATAGATAGATAGATAGATAGATAGATAAATGGACAGGTGAAAAACAGAGATAGATGGATACATAAATAGATAGATAATTAATAAACTATGATAGATAGATAGATAGATAGATAGATAGATAGATAGAGATAGATAGATAGATAGATAGATAGATCTGCATCAGATAGATATGATCAGACTGAGATAGATAGATAGATAGATAGATAGATAGATAGATAGATAGATAGATAGATAGATAGATGAAAAGACAGAGATAGACAGACAGGTGAAAAGAAAGAGATAGATAAATAGATAGTTAATGAATAAAGTAAGATAGATAGATAGATAGATAGATAGATAGATATAAACAGAATGAGATAGATAGATAGATAGATAGATAGATAGATAGATAGATAGATAGATAGATAGATAGATTTGAAAAGATAGACCGAGTGAAATAAATAAACTTAGAAAAGGTTTCCGGATTAAAATATGGCACGGATTAAAATATCTCGTGGTCTGTTAATATATTTATATCAACAAAATATATATATATATATATATATATATATATATATATATATATATATATATATATATATATATATATATATATATATCCGTTGGTATATAATCAAAGCGCATCCTAGTAATATGAAAATATTAGCACGAATCCACAAAAAAAGGGCTGATGTATTTTATTTAATTTATATTCAATACAGACCAATATATATATATATATATATATATATATATATATATATATATATATATATATATATATATATGGTTGATAGATGTGAGTTTGTGACCTGGGTTTCACAAACTCACATGTATCCGACCAAATATGTTAGCTCTATCTCTGATATTGAGCGCTTTTAATAAGTAATATCATATAATATATAAATAATTATATATATATTTATTTATATTTATATACACATTTCACACAAACACACACACACACACAAATATATATATATATATATATATATATATATATATATATATGATTTAATTTATACAGATATACAGTGCAATATAAATTAATAATAAAAATAATAATAAACAGTACCTGTTGCCTCATAGCCTATTCGTCATATGAGGTAAAAGGATTTATACATACACATATTATATATATGTATATATATGTATATATGTATATATATATATATATATATATGTATATATATATATATATATATATATATATATATATATATGTATATATATATATATATATATATATATATATGTATATATATATATGTATGTATATATATATATATATATGTATATATATATATGTATATATGTATATATATATGTATGTGTATAATTATAATTATTTTCTTTTTAAAAATATGATTGCATCGCGACACAGACAATTTCCATGTTTCAAAACTGAAACTAAATTTATAAATTTATTTATAAAAATAGAGTGAGGTAGGATTTACTAAGCGAAGATTAGATGTGGCACAAGGCTGAAAGTACTGAGCACTTAGTGAGGATCTCAGTCATTTCATATCTATCTATTTATTTCGGACTCTTCATATCTCTCTAGGACTACTTTTTCGCTCTCTATCCGACTGTTCCCATCTCTCTCTCTCTTTCTCTCTCTCTCTCTCACTATCTATCTATCTATCTATCTATCTATCTATCTCAGACCCTTCATATCTATCTATCTATCTATCTATCTATCTATCTATCTATCTATCTATCTATCCCAGTCCGTTCATATCAACCTGTTTGTCTGCCTAGCTATGCTAATATTTTTTTTCGTACAGATTCATCAAGTAATAAAATAAACAAGAAAATAAAAAGATCACCGTAATTTTTTGTCCTCGAATAATTTACGCTTTTGTGCTTGTTTTTAATAAAACTTCTTAAACCCCGGTCTTCTACTGATAGATATGAACAGAATGCAATAAATAAATATTGCTTACTTTCTTTCCTCATTAGTCATCACCCAACATGTCAGCTTCAACTTTCGCATTGGCATGAGCAATTTGTTGCTTCTATTATATTGAAAACTTCCTCATTTATCACATGCGCCATGCACGTTATTCTTGCTATTCTTCGATAGAAACGCACCTCGATAACTCTTTTCTTGAGATTTGAAGAGACTCTTTAGCATTCACTTCTATATAGTGATTTTCCAAGCTTAGATGTGGCACAAGGCCCAAAGTATGGAGCACTCAGTAAGGATCGAACTCACTACTTACTCGTAATTTTTCTAGCCAGACAAGCTTGTTAACCATTACATCATCTACGCTTAGATATGCCACAAGGCCGAAAGTATGGAATACCCAGTGAGGATCGAACTCACTACACAGTCGTAACTGTTCCAGCGAGACAAGTATGCAAAACGGTACCCCACATCGAGGTACCCCATTCACTTCCACATAAAATGGTAGACATTAGTCAGCAATTTATCAGGATTTTCTTCGTTTCTAAAGACATTTTCGAAACCTGCTTTACGCGCTTATCATTTTTCTAATTCTAGGCTTCTTCAGAATTCTATGTCATAATTTCCGTTGTCTGTCATTCTTCTTTTATATGACGTGTCCCTTCTGGACGTGAGCACTCATGGCTCTCCTTGACTTCCTGTCAGTTGTAGCACAAAGCAAGCTTTGTCTCTTTACTATACTTTGCTGTCAATACTCTGTCATCTATTTACACAATCTCCTTTGGGAATGTTAATGGCTGTTTTCGCCTGTCCCATCATTATCTACTTTGAGTGTCAAATTCTCCAAACCCACTTTCCTCATCATGTCTTCCTGAAATTTCAACTGTTTCTAGGCAAAGGTTTCCTGTTCGATCCGATTTTCATTAAAACATCTTCGTTGCTCACATTATCCGACAATGTTACCATTAGCTTTCTTGTGTAGAGCCGCATATCAGTTGCCTCATGTCTTCTGTTCATCTTTGAAGCATCTTGCCCAATTGCCATATAGGAGGACTAATATTTCGTGACAGTTCAGTACACTTTTCTTTGTTTCTCTTCCTTCAAGTCTCTTCTTCATCCGTAAGGAGATTGTCCAGCATTCACTGCCATATAGGAGGACTGATATTACGTAATTGTTCAGTATTCTTTTCTTTGTTTATCTTGCTTCAAATCTCTTCTTCATCTGTGAGGAGATTGTCCAGTTTCACTGCAATATAGGAAGACATAACAGTTTGATATAATGGAATATGCGTACACCCGTGTTACACCTCACTGGAATATGATTGGCTGGTGTCCGTCATAAATACCGACCGACGTGTAGGAGAGTCAGAGAGCCTTAGTCTGACGCCATTGGACGACGCCATTGATCTAAACTTCTTACCTGTGACTACAACGCGTACCAGGCGATTACTGCTACCGTATTCTGCTTGGTTATAGTAGCCAAAACCAATTAGCTACTTCGTTCAAATATATCCCTTTCCGGGACATATTACAGTTCAGCACTCTTTTTCTTTGTTTCTCTTGTTTCAAATCTCTTCTTCATCTGCGAGGACATTGTCCAGCATTCACTGCCATATAGGAGGACTTATATTACATAACTGTTCAACACACTTTTTTTTTGTTTCCATCGAAAGTTTTCTCTTCAATACTTTGCTTAGATTTTTGAAGGCATATTTCGCTATTCTATGATGTCCTCGGATTTCTGTGTCACCTTTTCATTCGTCAAATCTTCCTAAATAGCTAAATTGCAGCTCGTATCTTGGAGTATCCATCATGCAAATTAACATGACTTTTGTCTTCCTACATTTGATAGTTAGTCCTTTCTTCTTGCTTTCCTTTACTAACTTGTTTAGAAATACATGTAATTATTTTTCTCTGTCTGTTATCAATACAGTGTCAACTGCATATCTTATGGTGATTTTCTAAGCGTAGCTTAGATGTGGCACAAAGCCGAAAGTATGGGAGTACCCAGTGAAGATCTGACGTAGTTAATGTTGTGCCCCCGGCCAAAGGCTCACTTTAATGATTAGATAAATTCTTGAAGTTTGATAGTTTTAATTTTCTTTTTATATGTATTTCCCAGAAATGGACGATTTAATTACAAATTGAGAATGTTTACTTTAGAACGAAGTTTTAAGACTCGAAATGAGTAAGCACAACTTTTAATATCAATAAAATATAGGTTATGCAATAGTAAATTGGGTATATTCAAGTGAGACATAAAAGGTTATTCAGTAATAATAATAACAATTTAATAATACTTAATTGAAGAAAATTATATTGGAAAAAATAAAACTCTGACCCTATTCCAATTAATTGTTTTTCGACACAAGAAGAAATGCATTCAAAATCGATAAAACCTAAAAAGTTATATACAATCAATAATCAAAATAGTAAGTTTATAATTCTACCAACAGTCTTTATTTACTGAAGTCGGAAATTATTACGACTAGCTCCAAGACAATCAAAGATTTGATCAATAAAAGACATAGAATCAATGTATAGGTAGTTGAAATATAGAAAATAGAATATTGGTTCACTATGTCGGGCTAGACAATTTTTCTCTCCAAAATCTATCTTACATATGTCTACCATTCGTCCATGCTTCGAATATTGCTGCTATATATGGTCCAGTGCTCCTGCTATTTATCTAGAGCTCCTTGATAAAATCCAAAGAAGAATCTGCAATAATATTGACCCTGATCTAGCATCTCGGTTTCAGTAACTTTGCCTCCCTTTGCCTTTTCTATAAATACTTACATGGTAAATGTTCAAATCAGCTTTTTGCTATAGTACGCAATTTTTGACGAGATCTCATCAATTTACACTTGAGCAGGCTAGATATAGTTCTATGCTGTTTCTTTTCTCGCACTTCTTGCTTGGGGAACTCCCTTTCAGCTCCATGCTTTCCAGAGTTTAATTTTAATCTTCAAAAAACTGCTTATTACTCTTTTTTTTGTTCTCGTTCCTTAGCAACGTTTGTACTTCTCTTACATACTCAGTAACCCCTTTGCGTCTCAGCGGCTTTACTGCCTTGCATGGGGTGAACTCTATTAAAAAAAATGTAATTCTATAAGAAATAGATGAACAATTGAGACATGTAAAAATAATAATAATAGTCATAATGGATGATTACTAGGTTAATATAAATCAGTTCTACTTAGCATTTTTTTTTTTTTTGCTTTTTCTAGTCGAACCTGGTAGCTAAGGACTCCCAAATTCTTTTGATTGTGTAGTGAGATCGATTCTCAATCGATAAAATAAATAATTATCCATGTTCTTGATTTGTGTCCAGCGAGTGAAGGTATCAAATTGTGGCTATGCGTTCGAACACCGCTGGGAGTTTTATTTTTTTATTATTTTTTTTTTTTTTTGGTGATGTCTAAACTAAATTCATTAAATATCAAAACCAAATTGATTGAATATGAAAAAATATTTTTAATCTCGCAAGCTGTCGATAGTAAGTCTGTTCGTCGTTTCCCTGCTACATCAAACGAAACTTAGTTTGCATCCACTGATACACACACACACTCACACACACGCGCGCGCATATATATATATATAGATAGATAGAGAGAGAGGGAGGGAGAGAGAGGGAGAGAGAGATATACACTTTTTAATATATGTATATATGGATGTACGTCTTTTAAACTCTTCTGCTATCTTTATCATTTCATTCTTAATGCTAGAAGAAAATCATACAAAATCGATGTCTAAAAAAGTAAATACAGTCAACACACCAAAAATAGTTTATAATTCTACCAACAGATTCTGAACTCGATAAACATTTAAATACCCCAAACGCAAAATTATAACCATTAGCTCCAAGACAATCAAAGATTTGATCAACGAAACACAGAGAATAAATAATGTAATACCATGAGAAAAAGCAGAACAGGTGAGTGATCTTAGAAATCTAATCATTTTTTATGGTGGATTCTAATACATTGGGGTCGGTGTCGATAGAGACAACTCCCCCACCTTTATCGGACTGAGTCAGGGTGATTTTGTTGTTTTTCGGTTTGCCAAAAACAAACAAAGAGTGAAAATAGAATCAAAATCAATTATAGGGTTTCTCTACAAGGAGCTCATCAAATATACGACTTCAGAATACTCCAGTTGAAGAAAATTTATTAAAA